ATTATCGATTCTTGTGTTCTGCATTAAACTATTTATAGTTTAAGGGCCTGGTTAGAATTACTGCCTTAGACTAGGAATAGCTAAGAGCTGAATATAAAATGATGTGGCCTTAGATTAAGAATAATTTAAGAGCATTATTGATATATATTGAATATCAAATGACTTGGAATAAAATATTGAAAATATTTTGAATGTTTGAACCATATATTGTGTGCATGATATCAAATGGTTGATTATGAATTGAGATTCAATTTATGTGGATGTTCGACGTTTTAGATATGCTTACTCAGCTTCACCGCTGAGCGTGTAGTATGTTTTATTTGCTACACGCAGGTAAACAAAAAGATTAATGTGATCCTGGCGGTAGATGGGGTGAGATTGTCGGGATGGATGTGACAAGTTTTGAAATGATTTATGATATGTCAATATTAAATTCGCTTCCGCAATATTGTTAAATACTCCGTACTGTATATGTTATGAAAAATATTATTGAGATTAATAAAGTGTGTTTGAAAAATTTTAAATTTTACGATTACCAAGTTAAATACTTTAGTCCGAAAGGGCTGCAGACCTGGACGGATTAGGGTGTTACAATAATACTCCCACCAATCCTCCACCAAATCGATCATCATCACCATCATCACCATCATCCACCATCATTCATTCATTCCTCCACTCATCTCTCTCTTTCTCTGTCAGCAATCAAAGAAGCAGAAAACCCAGCTCAACTTACCTCCATTGTTTTGCCATGGAAAAAGAAGGAACAAGAAGAAATCATTCAACTATCCAAAATCTTGAAACCAAACACATCAGTCCACTTTAAGGTAAAAATTGAAATTTTCCATCCATTTTCTTGAAATACTTCCTACACCAACGTTGTAGCTCCGGACGTTACGAAGCCAACCTAAGGACTGTACCCCGGACGTTAAGTTACGAAGGAGATATGGCCAAAATACCAGGACTGTGCCCGTGGTGGCGAGCCCCTCGGGTTGGCTATTTTTCTTCACTATATTCATATCGTTTTATTTCGAACACTTACCGTCAACTCTCTAACGATTATTAAGAACTTCCGGAAGTTATTTTCAAGAAGGTTGGATGTTGGAAGCTTGAAGTTGATAGGGGTGACCGTACATTGAACGTTTGTTGAGACGTTATCTTTTGACGTTCCATGTTCATCATCGAATATAAGGTCTGTACCCTTGCGTTAGAATTATCAAATCGTTCATCACATATGTACATGTAGGGGTGTGCACCGGTCCAAAACTGGACCGGACCGGACCGGAACCGGAATCATCTATTTGCAAGGACCAAAGACAGAACCTGTTAGATACCGGTCTGGACCTGAATTTTCTACTCCGGTTTGGGTTTACCCTATTATGGACCGGATTTAAAACATAAATGACCTAATCTTCATTATAAAAAAATCATATCTAAATTGTATATGTAAATATATATATATATATATATATATATATATATATATATATATAAAACAATCCCCAAATTCATAACAATAACAACTCACTAAGGAGGGCAATTATTAAATTCATAAGTTCATAACGCTACAAAATCCATGAAAAAATCTCAATCCAAAGTTCAAACTTCAAAAAGAAAAAAAATTAATAAAAAATACTTAAAGTAAAAATTGAAATTAAGTAACATATCATGCTAGGAGCTTAAGAGAACTGAAAAAAGAATAAATTTGAAAGGATAATGGGCTAATGAATTAACTATTTATTTAAAAACAATTAATATTTTATTATATACCGGTCCGGACCGAATAATTCCGGGTTTGGACCGGACCGGAACCCGGAATTCTAAATTTTGGAGAACTGAAGACCGGACCTGAAAATTCTGAACCGGTCCATTCTGGTCTGGTTCAGGTCTAAAATCCGGTCTGGACATGTTAATGCACAGCCCTATGTACATGAAAATACACACACACACACACATATACATGTGTGTGTGTGTGATACAGTGGTTCTCCCCTATAGAGATGGTCACAGGGTTGATAGGCGAACCACACTACCCGGGTTCGATCCCCAGAAGATGCATATTTGGAAGAATTTTAAAGAGTTAAGCGTGCTGGCATGGGAGTAGCGAAAATGATGGGTGACCCCTGGGAAGTAGATTTGGGCTTATGGGGTTGGGCTTTAGATTGGGCTTACTTTAGGCTTTCTATAGTGGGCTATCTACCTCGGGTGTTAACAGGCCCTGGGGTAGTCACGAGGTTAACTAGCCTCGGTCCCCTGCCTGTAACCGACCTTTCATTATTAAAAATATATATATATATATATATATATATATATATATCTGTGTGTGTGTGTGTATATGTGTGTGATACATATATATGTCATCTATGTATTGAGATCAAAATACACCAAATCCATAAAGTTAATATATACATAAAAAATATAAACATTGGAAATCAACTCAAAAACATGTATATGTTAATCAAAGATGTTTAAAAGACTTTAAAAAGTATTTTGGAAACTCAAAATATCAAGATAAGTTTCGCAGACCCGAACGGTCGATGCATACGGTCGACTACCGTATTAATCTTCAAAACGGGCTACGACTGTCAACAGAATGGTTGACCACCATCGCTAAACGTCTGACCATCCCAGCTCAGCCGAACGCAGCCACGTCCCAGGCAGCTTACAACGCTCGACCGTTGGTCAAGCACGGTTGACTTTCACGGAGATCGAACCGCCGAAAAGATTTGTAGCAAGGTCGGCCGCCGTGTCAACCGGTCGACTGCTCCGAGCCCCGTAGCTTAATTAAATGATACTTTAATCATGTTTCAATCAAATAAACTCATGCATGATTATATATTCATATTGTTTACAAATTGTTCATATTATATGATTCATTTCATCATTCATATTGAAGCATATCACACCATATGCATGTGTAAGAGATCATGCCTCGTGCGTCTCTTATAGCGTGATTGTGCGGGACTTATTAGTCCGACACCACACGTTCGGGCTTAGTGTACCTACATGGTATTCAAGCTTTTGAGTACCACCATCATATTTTTCTAGTCTCATTCGTGAGACTAAGGTGGCGTGAGTTCGTCGTACAAACTTGGCGAATCTCATAGCGCAAAGGTCGTCCTTGCACATTAGTTTCATGCATCGTGTTATCATCATCAAGTACAATTATATTGATTATATGAGCCACCATGTAATCATCATCAAGAACAATCATATTGATCATATGTGCCATCATGTAACCATCAACAAGAACAACCATATTGATTATATATGTCATCATATAATCATCATCAAGTATAATCGTATTGATTAAATGTGTCATCATGTAATCATCATCAAGTATTTATCAACATGAACCATCAACTTGATCATATGATATAATGTGCCATATCATTAATATTATTATACATTTTTGTGGATGTATATATATGTATATGTATATGTCTGTGACTTATTCTACAATTCTAGCGTGGTACCACTCAGCGGTTTCGCTGAGCGTGTAGTTTGTATTTTTCGTTGACTACACGTAGGTAACAAGAGGACAATAACGGAACAACTTCCGGAAGGCATTGAGTCAGAGGAGATGCAAGGATTGCAGACAAATGTTTGATCATCTAGATTTTAAATGTGTCATGATTTGATTATTACTGTACTTCCGCGTTACTTTGAAAATATTTTAAATGGGTCACGATCCAAAGTCTGTAAATTTAACATTTATAAGTAATTGTCATTTTCAAATGTCAAGCGAAATTTTTATTTAACTCGGCTTTCACCTTAATACGTGTAATTCCGGGTTATACGGATTAGGGTGTTACAACTGGTGCCAGTATCGGTTCCATACCGGGACTGTGTCCAGCTCTAGTATTGAAGTGTCATATGAATCATACTAGTTTATATACAAAGACTCTTATTGTTAATAGACCCCTTTGTGTAATAGAGGTTGTACAAGAATACAAATTTTATGGGGTTGAGATGGTTGGTGGATTATAGTTGGATTAGGCTTTGATCATTTCTTTAATATAGAACAAGATGGAGACCCGAGACCCATTCATTCCATCTACCTTTTGGAGATGTTAGAATTACTTTGCAAGATGTAGAGGTTTTGCTTGGATTTCCCGTAGATGGCATTCTATTGGCGGGAATCACTAGCCGGCCTAAGGATCATTGGATTCAGATTTGAGAGGACGTGATGGGATTTGGACCTCCTACCTCTAATATTAGGTCTTTTATGATTAAGATATCTGCAACTGTTCTTAAGGAATTAAGAAATTAGAGTGTAGATGTAGATTACTTGCAACATGCCACAACCATTATGTTTAAGTTGTTGGGTGGTTGCATATTTCCCAACTCGATGGGATATAAAGATAGGTTGTATCTTTTAGAGATAATCATGAGTGATGCAAACCTTGTACATGTTCGTGCTATTTGTTTGACAGTACTTAATTTCTTTTATCGTAGTATGTGTCGTGCTAACTCGACTAATACAACACAAATTGGAGGGTGTCTTGTCTTCTTACAGGTTTGGGCTTGGGAGCATCTACTTATGACTATTGAAACACATTTTATAATAAAATTGTACTAAAGTTGTGTTCGTTTTTTTGATAGGTTTTGATTAATGCCAAATCACTGTGGATATGAAAAGCTTCATTGAATAACTCCAGGCATAAAATAAGGCATAGAACAAGGCATGAAAGTATCAAGAATAATACCAAGAACAATGAACACTTAGATTTTGGTTGTCTAACGCCCCGAAACCCGGCCTATCCAGATAAATTAATTAAAAATAATTAATTAATTACTGAGACGGCCCCAATGTAGTTCAGAAATATTTTTCGTTTGATGAAAAGGATTATACCGTTGTGCTTGGCGAAACAAATCCAACGATGTAAACGGATTTGGATTTGGAGCTCGTGGGCCGAAAAGTGCGTTTTGGCCCAAGTACGTTAATTAATTTTGGAGCCCAAAAGTCCAAACAAATATATGCTCCTACATGCCCTATCCCCACGTTGCCACTCCCATACTCACGCAAACATTCCCTCACGTCTCTCTCTCTCTCTCTTATTTTCTCTCTCGGTTGAAGGACATCATCGAAGGAACAACGAGAAGAGGAAGATGAAGAGGAAAAAAAGGCAAGGTCGCGTCGTCACCTTGTTGTTTCCCTGTTATGGTATTGACTCCACAGTCTCTATTCATCGTAATTGAGGTGAGTACGTTGACATCTAACGTGTAGGTATATCGTAGATTTAAATCTTACTATCATAGAAATGTTATGGTTGAGTTTCGTGAAATCTATATGCGTTAATGTATTGTTTTGTATTGAATTGGAAATAGAAAGAGAATAATGAGTATGGGTATGCTCAGTGTGATGATAGAGAATATTTGGATTAAAATTATGAATTGACATCACACTGTTACAAAACGAAGGTATACACCTCTAAGTACAATTTGAGATATAAATTTTGGTCTACAAGTAGTTCAATTGAAGCTAAAAATCTAAAATCATATCCCTCATCCCTCACATATTTTCACGGCAAGTTGCCGCCAGAAAAAAAGCCGCGAAAATGTTACGAATACCCATTTAGCGCGAAATTAGTGTCGATAACCAAATAAACTCCCTCCACTCTCGTCTACCCCACATCCGGCGTCTCTTTATATGCACTTCCTTCTTGCACCTAAACTCCTCAACTGAGGATTTCTGATAATAGCACTAGGGTTTTCTTTGCTGCTGTGCTTCAAAAACCCGTCATTTCCCAGAATCCCAGGAACTTATTGTTATTTTATCTTTCATTATACATTGTCTTTGCTGTGGCAGCCATGGAATTGGAGATGGAAACAGTGATCAGCGAACTAGAAAAGAAGGAGGTCCAGATGATCCAATCAATCGTTGGTTCTGAGGTTTCAGAATCGGACGTCCAGAAAGCTCTCTCTTGCTGCAACCACAATGCTGATGCCGCCGTCAACTACATCCTTGATAACCATCTGCCCTCCGATGTTCGAAAGACGGTCACCGTCACAGGTGCCCGGATTTCAGGCCCCATAAAGGTGGAAAACAGAGAAGAGTTGAAAGATTCGGAATTTCCCGAGAAGGGTGTGATTAAAATCCCTAGTGTAGGGTCTGATGATTTTCGTACGAAGCTAAACGAACAGAAGGTGGAGAAAAACGAAGAGGAAAAACTGAATATTTCGGAAGTGGAAGTTGATAGCAAGGCTATAGTGGTTGCTGGACCTGCTCCAAGCTTTGAGAGCAGGGTGGTTGCGAAAGAAGAGTCACAAGAGGTTATATATGTAGAACCAATATCGGTGAGGGCTCCTTTGAACCCTAAGAAAGATATGGAGAGAATTCGGAATAGGCCTCCATTTGGGAAGGCTGAGAAGAAAGTGGAAATGGCTCTTAGTGCCATATTGATTGAGGATGGAGATTTTCCTGATGAGGCCGATTGGTTGTTGGTTGGGAGGAACATTGTCACCGGGCTTTCAACTACAAAAGGAAGGAAGTTGGAGAACAATGAGATTGTTCACTTTGCTTTTCCTGGGCGCGATTCAGTCAGGTATTCTAAAGGTGCTTCGTCTATTGTCAGGTTCTCAACCAAACGATTCGGAGAGGTAAACTTCAGTTCCATTTGTTATAATGTGTGTTTCTTTTGGGTTCTGGTGAGGTCATTAATCTCTGATTGATTACTCAGATTGGCCGCCTTCCAATGGAATGGGCAAAATGCCTTATTCCACTTGTGAATTCCACAAAGGTCAAGGTTCGTGGAAGATGTGTAGCCGCACCAACTAATCTTCAACTGATGCAAGAGATCATGTTATATGTTAGGTAAAATTTGTCAAGTTTTGATTTTGGGCACCCCACTCTCGAGCCTATAAATTGGTGATATATGAGGTTCTTTTTCCTGCAGTTTCTACATTAACCGGTCGGTGTTCACCGTTGGTGACAAGTCAACTTGGAGGCTGGACTCCCCTTCAGAGATTGACACCACAACATACCCACTTTTAACTCTCTTTAAGCTGTTGAAAATCAATCCTTTTCAGCAGGTCATACCCTAGCATTGAAAGTCGAGTAAAACCCAGTAATTTCAAGTGCCATGTACAATAGTAACTTATCCCTTACATTTTTTTCTGATATCCACAGGCCGATTTTAAACCAGAAGATCTTGATTCTCGCAAACGCTCCCTAAACTCTGAAGTATGTTGTCTTTTGAGTTTTGCTCTCCTTTTATTGTGTTCCCTTCAATTGTATATCCCATAAGTGCATCATAATGGAAAAGATTAAGGTCAAATGAGTTTTTTATGATTATTTTCCAATAGGGTTATTTGGGTGAAGCTGGATTGGTCTTGCCTATGACAAAACGGATAAAAGGCTGCTCACAGAGCAGGGAGCAGGGAGAGAATGAACAGACCATTCCAGAATCTACACTAAACAAACTTGTTGGTGCTGCAGAGATGTATGACCTTAAGGTAATGAACATGATCATGATATCATATTTAGGAGGAGGTTACTTTGTCTTTCCTCTCACCCTGTTCACATATGTGGGTAATTAAGGAAATGGAGCCTCCCGGAACACTTGTGTGCAGCCTGAGGCCCTACCAGAAGCAGGCTCTTTACTGGATGTCTGAATTGGAGAAGGGAACTGATGCAGAGCAAACGACCAAAACCTTGCATCCGTGTTGGGCAGCATATAGAATTTGTGATGAGTATGCACTCACTTACTTGGGATTATCATTTAAATCTGCAAATGTTTCCCATATGTGAATTTGCTGACCAAATCTCTCCATAGGAGGGGCCCTGCTATTTATGTGAACATTTTCTCTGGCGAAGCAACTACCGAATTTCCTTCTGCGTCTGAAACAGCACGAGGAGGAGTTAGTCTTCTTTCTCATCTCTCTTGTTTTTTAACATCTTCTTTTAATTACCTTTTGTTTACCTTCTTGATTATTTATGTTTCATTTCACACATAAGTCTTTCTAAATAACCAGTGTTGTTTATACAGATTTTAGCAGATGCAATGGGCCTTGGGAAAACTGTAATGACTATTGCTCTAATACTTGCAAGACTGGGAAAGGGTATCCCTGATAATCTAGAGCCTCTTGTTGAGGATATGGCTATTGTTAAGCATTCGAATAGCAGTGGGGATGGCAATGCAAATAACAGAAGGGTTAAAGGTGGCACTCTCATAGTGTGTCCTATGGCATTACTTGGTCAGTGGAAGGTGAGTTTGTAAGCTGGTCATGAACCTAATAAAGGGATAAAGTAACATTTTGCTTGATAATATTTTATGCTCATATGACAAGTAACTTGGATTTTTTTCAACAGGATGAACTTCTAGCCCATTCAAAGCAGGATAGCATTTCTGTTTTTGTTTATTATGGTGGCACCAGAAGCAGTGACCCTAGAGCTATAGCAGAACCAGATGTGGTCTTGACAACATATGGCATCCTAACTGCTGCATATAAGTCTGTAAGTTATCCTCTTTTCCAACCCAGTCTTAAGGTTTTCCCACTGCTATATACAGCTCTAAATACATTAAATATGTTTGGTAATTTTCCTAATGCTCCTTGTTATGGTATATATTGATTTAGGACGTGGATAATAGCATTTTTCATAAAGTTGATTGGCATCGAATCGTTCTCGATGAAGCACACACTATAAAGTCATGGAAAACTATGGGAGCTAAGGCTGCATTCACATTGTCTGCATATTGCAGGTGGTGTCTTACTGGTACTCCTCTTCAGGTATGCCCTCGAAACTATTATGTATATAACAGTTTCTATAATTCAGAGGCAAGTTTTGGTTCACAGTGTATGTGTGTCTGATTCACCTTTTGGTGTAGGGAAAGATTGTTCTACTACATCTTGCTTTGTTTTAATGAGGAAGTCCACTTTCTAATTACTGCAGAATAATGTTGAAGATCTTTACAGTCTCCTGTGTTTCTTGCATGTTGAGCCATGGTGTAATTGGGCATGGTATGTCTAGTGCCTTATATAAATATATGTATGTATGTATGTATATACTCCCTCTGTCCCTCATAGATCTTCCCATTAACCTTTTTTATTTGTCCACCATAGATCTTCTCATTACTTTTTTAACAATTAAAATATATACCACAACTATCCTCACTTACTTTATTTATTACACCTCACCTACCTCATTTAATACACTGCACCTATTTTCATTAAGGATATTATGGTAAACTTTCACATTTTTCAACTCTCCTTAAAAATCACAAAAAGTCAAAATGAGAAGATCTTAATGGGACGGAGGGAGTATATATATATATATATATATATATATATATATATATTTGTGAGTGTATATATATATGTGTGTGTGTGTACACACACACACACACACACACACACACACACATATATATAGCCAAGTTTATTTAAATATTTTCATTTTGATTTATACAACATGATTTCAAATATGAATGGCACATGAGTGATTGATTTAAAATGTTTTTACAATTGTTTGGTTGATCAATTTTAGATATTATGCTGAGCTGGATTACTTGCATATGTTTGCTATGCTGTAGGTGGAACAAATTAATACACAAACCTTATGAGAATGGTGATCTGAGAGCACTAAAACTGATCAAGGCAATTCTCAGGCCACTAATGCTAAGGAGAACAAAGGAAACAAAGGACAAGGAAGGAAGGTAGTTAATTTTTTTCTCTATTTCTCTCTTAATGCTCGGATTATTTTGAGGCAAAGCTATATCTGGCAGCACGTTGATTCCATCTTGCTATATTGAATTAGGCCCATTCTTGTGTTGCCACCAACTGATATTCAAGTCATTGAGTGTGAACAGTCAGAAGAAGAGCGTGATTTCTATGATGCCCTCTTCAAGAAATCAAAAGTAATAAGAGCTTTAACAGCAAGTCTATTTAACTTTACTGTGGGATGGAGGTTCCAAATGCTCACAAAATTCTTGTGGATGAAACAGGTCCAGTTTGATCAGTTTGTAGCACAAGGCAAAGTTCTTCACAACTATGCAAACATTCTTGAGTTGCTCCTTCGCTTGAGGCAGTGTTGTAACCACCCTTTCCTTGTAATGAGGTGCGATGCCCATCACGACTTGACTGTTTTTTCTATGATCAAATATGTTGTTTTATCTCATAGCTGATTTCCTTCTTGAAATGCAGTCGCGGTAATACAGACAAATATGCAGACTTAAGCAAGCTGGCACGACGGTTCCTAGAAATGAACCCAGAATCTGCCTCTCAGCAGTTGCCCACTCGAACCTACGTAGAAGAGGTTGTTAATGAGATTCGTAAAGGCGAGAACACAGAGTGTCCCATATGCCTTGAGTCTGCAGATGACCCAGTGCTCACACCCTGTGCACATAGAATGTGCAGAGAATGTCTTTTATCAAGCTGGCGATCCCCAGCTGGTGGGATGTGTCCAATCTGTCGCCGGACGCTGAATAAAAATGAACTGATCACCTGTCCATCTGCAAATAAGTTCAGAGTTGATGTTGAGAAGAACTGGAAGGAGTCTTCAAAGGTGAAAAAACTATTGGATTGCTTACAGTGCATAAGCCGGTCTGGTTCTGGCGAAAAAAGCATTGTTTTTAGCCAATGGACATCATTTCTAGATCTTTTGGAGATTCCTCTGAAAAGAAATGGGATTGGGTTTCTAAGATTTGATGGGAGATTGGCACAGAAACAAAGGGAAAACATTTTGAGAGAGTTCAGCGAGACTCACGAGAAAATGGTAAGTAGATCATAAGTACGGACTACACTATACACTGCAAATAATTATCTTTTAGATCTACCAAACTGATTCAGACCCCTTTTAAAAGTCATCTCCTCAAAATCTGTTCATATTTCCAGGTTATGCTCATGTCTCTGAAAGCTGGAGGAGTGGGTTTGAATTTGACAGCAGCCTCAAATGTCTTTCTAGTGGTAAGCTCTTTTGGATTCTCTTGATCTCCTTAATCACTGCCTATGATATCCCATTTTGGGTTTCTAATGTGCATTCATCTATCAACCGAAAATGCAGGATCCATGGTGGAATCCTGCAGTTGAAGAACAGGCAATAATGAGAATCCATCGGATCGGCCAGAAGCGAACGGTTTGCGTTCGGAGGTTCATTGTTAAGGTACCAATCTCCCAACTTCTTTTCTTAAGTATGTAGAGTAATGAACAAACTATTCCGGTCCCAACGCCTTGTTTCAAAATCAGTAACCACGTTGAAATCGTTGCACAGGACACTGTGGAAGAAAGGATGCAGCAAGTGCAAGCTAGAAAGCAGAGGATGATCGCCGGAGCCCTGACTGATGAAGAAGTCCGGTCGGTCAGACTGGAAGAGCTGAAGATGCTTTTCCGATGAGGTTTCATGATCAAGTCCTTCTTGTTTCAATGTGGGGGGGTGGATAGAATCTGCAGAGTGGACTACACTGCATTTTGTTTAGTACTACTGTGTGTACTATGCGATATTCCACCAAATTTTTGTAAAAAAAAAGGTAGTAATAGTCTAATAGGTAGTGGTGACTGGTGAATGGACTTAGATTGTCCATCAATTTAATGATGGCTTCCTCTTTTGTACGAACAATGGTATTAGTTCAGGCTGTTCGGCGCAGTACATGCACCTTCGCATTATTAGACTGCATATTGCGACTTCACAATGGGATGTAAGTTAGTGGTTGAGTTAGGGTTTGATTTTGCACAAAAAATATACTTCCTTTGTCAATAATTACCAATATGATTCATAGAAGATAAATATTTTATAATATAATTGATACTAACTAACACAATTACTAATAATTGTAAAGAAAAAGTAATTCAAACTATAATTGTAGAAATTAATTGGAGAATTAGAAAAAATAACCTTCAAACGTGAATGATGAGTGCCAATGGTTCGACGACGATGGATGGGTAGTGGCATCAGTGACTAGGAGCAGCGGCTAGGGTCAATGGTGATAGACTGATGGAGGCAACTGTTAGAAACTTAGGAGGATGAAAACGCTATGAAGCAGCGTTGTAGATTTAATGAAACGAAGAATAATAGTTACAACTTGATAGTTTAGCGAATAGCGAATACACTTTCAAATCAAAGTTATTTTGGGGTATACTAAAATACTTTAATCGGATAAGACGTTAATCAAAATTCAAAAACAAGCCTCGAATTCCTACCTCCCATACCAACTAGACTCTTTTATAGTCAAAATTCTTAGTGATCGGACATGGACGTTCGCTTTACGCGAACGTTTTTGCGTTAGGGAAAGAACCAAACTTTTCTAAAAGACACAAGTGTTAGTGCGAGTTTCTTTCGGTTTTTGGGTCGATTTTGATGTTTATCCGTATGTCCAAAATTTTAAAATTTGGACTCCATTCACGAAAATCTAAAGGGGTTCTACCCCTTGGACCCTGCGACCGGGGGCTGCTGCCCCCGGACACCCGCTATGATTTTGTAATATCGTTGAACGAGTGCGCACTCAGCACTCCCTAACTCGTTAGACGTCTATTCAAATTCATGTCTGATTTAAGCAAATTCAATCACATAAAAATAACCGATGACACTAAAATCACCAACAGCAACAAGGGTGGGTGGTGGTGCTAGATGTTATATGTTATAATCGGTTCGGTTCGGATCAGATTCGTTAAATTTCGGTTTGGATTTGATTCGGTTCAATACATTTCTCGGTTCGATTCAGTTTCGAGTTGGTTCAGATACAGTTCAGTTATAAATCGGTTCGGATAGATTTCGGTTCGAATATACAATTTGAGTCGGATATATTCCGGTTTTGGGTCAAATATATTTTGGACATATATTATTTTCTAATTAAAAATTTAACTATCCATGTTTCTTTTTATGTTTCATCACATTTACCAATCTATCATCAATTCAATACCTCATATTATTTTATACTCCCTCCGTCCCAAAAAGTTTGTTACATTTAGAAAAAACTGCGTCCCGTAAAGTCCGTTACATTTCAATTAAAAAACCACTTTTACCCCTTACTTTTTCATACTCTACCTATCACATCATACTTTTTTTCTAATAATCTACCCATCACATCCTACTTTTACCCATCACATCAAGGGTATTTTTGGAAAGTCAATACCAAAATATCCCTCTCTTAATTTCCCAAAAAGTCAAACCGTCTCATTCTTTTTGGGACGGAGGGAGTATTTTTTTCTAATTATATTATGTCTACCCTAAATAATCTTCCCTTTACTTTTTAGTCATATTTTACAAATTTGGACTAAAAATTATGAAAACATATATATTTAATTATGATATAAATTTAATATAATTAAATTGATTTTAAAATTTAGTTTTGAAATATCAAATTTTTCTCACATCTACAAATATACTTATGTTTATAAATGAAAAGATAAAAGATAAATTCAAATAGTGTTATGTTTCATTTGAATACAACTTGGTAAAAATTGATAAAAATTGGGTAAAATTAAGTGAATTTTATTCAATTGAGTGCAAAATTTAGAAATTATTGAGTGTATTTGGTTGAAAATAGATAAAATTAAATTTAAGAAAGTCAAATATAATTAATTTTACATCTAAATGTAATGGTGTAGATCAAATTTGAAAATGATAACACTAAATGTTGTCGCTAGATAGTTTTTTCAAAATGCCAATACTAGCATCTAATTTTATTGACTAATATTGAGTGAATTGGTTTGAAACTAATCAAATTAACTCTCAAATCAATAAAATTTATTGTAATGAGATAAAATTAGGATAAAATCTAGTTATTCCGCAAAATTCATCATATAATCCTTTCGTCCCAAAAAGAATATCATACTTCACTATTTAAAAATTACGGAAATTTTATTTGTTTGTATAACTTATCTTTAATTTCTACATATAATGAATTTAAGGCATGAAATTTTGTACTTTTTTTCAAGAATATAATCCATTTTATGAGGGAATGAGCAAGTAATGTAATTAGTTCAAATGGTAAAATAAAAGTAAAAATTTAAAAATATAATATGCTTATTGAAAGGCAAACATAGTTCTGAATTTATCGATTTTAGTTGTAATCAGGGTTGGATATTATCGGTTTCAGATCTAATCGGTTTTGGGTTTTATTAGTTTCAGGTATTATCGGTTTTGGATCTAATTGGTTTGGGGTTTAATCGATTCGGATATTATCGGTTTTGGATATAATCGGTTACAGATTTAAATCGGATATGAATTATTTAGTTCGGTTTCGGTTCGATTCGGATCATTTCGGGTTTTCGGTTATAGATCGGATCTTCATTTTTCGGGTCATTTCAGTTTCGAATATTTCGGTTCGGGTAATCGGTTCCGGTTCTGTTTTGCCAGGTCTAGGTGGTGCGCGTAGCTCTCTACCTCCATTTTATGTATCGTCGGATTTGAGGGAGGTGGCGAGGGTGACGTCAATGGGGTTGATGGCGATGATGTCTACGATGACATGTGTTGGGTACGGTGATGAGGGTTTGAGTCATCTATGTCTCTGAATTTTCAAGCTCAAAATATGATTTTATAATTTAGATCAATTCAAATTTGATCAAATATTTCATTATTTAATAAAATTTTTGATATAATTTTAAAATATGTAATCTATATTTTTTTTATTTTATACCAATTTATAAATAATTTTTTAATTAAGAGATTTTGAACATTGTTCGAAGTGAGATGATTTTTTGTTGGATGGAGGGAGGAATGGATGTGAGCCACAAAAATAGTGTAGCTTGAAAAAAAAGAGAAATTGAAATAAATAGAGAATTTATTATGTACCAAAAAAGAGCATTTATTATTTTAATAGAAGAAATTATGAAATTTTAAAAGTATAATACAAGTATTAAATTTAACAATTTTTATTTTTTTTCAATATTTTTCAACTCTTTTTTTGTTTTTTTCAACTTTTTAATTTCTTTCTAACCACTTCCATATTCTTCCAACTTTTTCCAGATTTTTTTGAACTCTTTTCAATATTCGTTCAATATCTATGTTTTTGTTAGCCAAAAGAATAGAGCGTCGTAGATACATCTATTGATGCCACTTTTTTTTGATAAAAAACTTAATGTTGCTAGATTTAGTAATTACTTAATGAATACGGGAATTAATTATTACTATAGTAATGATCGACTTCTATAGATAAAAATTAAAATCAACGTTGTTTGCTGTCTTTCCACTCCATCTGTCCCAATTTTAGCGTAAAAAATAATGTCAATCAAACATCATAAATAACAAATGAGACAATCTAAATTTGGTGGGAGGGAGTATATATATTGTCTGGTTTTAAAAGCATAATCGTGGGAGTATATGTAAATGTATCGTTTGGCTAGCTTTAAAAGCATAATAATTATAATCACCATCTTGATCAATACGGGATAGTGTACGGGCATATCAAATACGGAGTATCGAATTAGATTCATCATATATATATATATATATATATATATATATATATATATATATATATATATATATATATATATATATATATANNNNAGAGAGTGTGTGCGGGTGTGTATTAGCGGGCGGGCGGGCGGGCGTTTGGGCGATCAGGAAATGGAGGGCGGGGTAGGATTGGCGATTGGGATGTTAACAGTGCAAGTAATAGCAGCTACATTACAGCTGCTGTCGAGGGTCATTCTGGGCCAGGGAATGTTTGTTTTTGCTCTCATGACTTATCGCCATCTCATCGCATCTCTCTGTCTCGCTCCTTTTGCTTTCTTCCGAGAAAGGTACGCTGCTGATAAACTGATAACATACTATTATCATATTCCCTACTCCTTTTGTCTCTAAAAGAATTATGTTGAGATGTTTTCTTTGATCAATGTATAAAACTTTGTGAATTTTAAAATGATTTTGAACAAATTACCCTAAACAGGAATAAAACATAGAGAAAGTATTAAAATAGAGTTTCGTGTTTTTATTCCTTAAATAAGAGTTCGCACTATTACAATGTGGCATTCTACATGTACATGTTTCTATATACTTTTTGAAAATATGCATGGTCATGATTGGTAATGTAAATATATTTTAACTTCTATTTCGAGAATAAAGAATATTAAATTCCTATTTTGATACATTTTTAATGTATTATTCCTGCTTTAGTCTTTTCCCATGATTTTGTTTACAAATTGGTAAATAAATAAAAAATAAAAAATTTTATATTAAAAAAAAAAACTTTACAAAACAAGAGTTGACAAGAATATTTTATTGTATCAAATTATCAAATAAAACATGCAAACAAATTAAAGTTATCGAGACAACGTAATACTAAAGAGATAATTCTTTTAGGGACAAAAGAAATATTATTTAAGTATCACATTTTTCTAAAGTGAAAATATTTATTAGGACGGAGTGAATAGAATAAATTTTAATTCCTAAACTCTAAATAAATGTTGAGTATATATTACCAATGTATTGTATGCAATATGCATTGCCAGGGAGTGCATGAAGAAAGTGAACTTGCTCGTTTTTATGTGGATATTTCTGGTGTCGTTTTTCGGGTAAGTACCTTCACAATTCACTTTGCGGAGTATTGTAACTTTAATGCGTTCATTCTTGACTCCTTACTTGATATACGAGTGTCGAGTAATAAGTTTGCATTATTATCAATTAAATTGTGACACCTACCAGTTGTTAAATTGATGCTTCTTACCCTTCAAAACTTTAGAAACAAAATTTGTGTGGGTAGAATTTGTACCTTGTTGTTTGTGGCGTAGGCGAATTTTGTATGTAAAGTGTACAAAATTGTCAAAATAGTAATGTAAACTTTGGAACTTTGGGTATACTTTTTCATTTTTGGTACGGCATACAAATAATTTAATACATATTAATTATTCAATCGGTCAGGCTGAATTCAAGTTCGGCCACTTCGAGTATGAATTATTCCAGCTTTGGGTAACTTCAAATTTGAGTTGAGGATTATATGATAATGGTCCAGTGTCATCGGGTTCGGAACGATCTAATAGATTACGACCTTTTATTTTAAAAGTTTTTAAATTCAAATTAACAGTTGCATTTTGCATTGAATAAAATTAGAAAAGTGAATTTCTAAAATGGTACTCAATAACCATGCGTTTTACCAAATTAATTCTCAAGATTAACTAATTATCGAGATGGTACTTGTTAATTGAAAATAATGCCTAGTTTAGTCCTCCCGACTAACAAGCATTAAGTAAACGTTGACCTCAAATTAAATAAAAATAATATTAGATAATAATTTTATTACATTTATTATATCAAGTATTTTCAAAATACTATTTCTATAAATGGTCTCTCGACTTCACTCAAACATTGTAAACCAATTGAAAAGACTACTGCTTTAGTTTTCATATTTAATGAGTTTTACTTCAAAAATAGACCAATTTGAGAAAATATTCCATTACAAAAGAACATTTTGGGGAAATACTATAAGTTTTAATGTCGTTTTGATGCCGTTTTGACGGTCGTTAGCCAGGAAGACTAAACTGGACATTATTTTTATTTAACGAGTACCATCTCAGGAGTTAGTTTATCCCGTGGACTAATTTGAGAAAACACATAGTTATCGAGTACCATTTTAGTAATTTACTCAAAATAAAATATAAAAAAATATAAAATGTATTGCAAGATTTGGGAATGGAACTGGAATTTGAATTTCAAATACTGATTTGGCTCAAATTCTAAATTTTGGAAATGTTTACAATTTGGATTTGGATTTGAGACAAATTCTTCTAAATCATTACAAAACTCAATTGCAAATTCATATGTATCTTCTTGTCATTTAAAATTCAAGAATTCAAATTTTGCAATTGAAATGTAAGAATTGAAATGAAATGCTAGTTCACAAACACTACATTAGATTTTTTAAAGTAATTTTTAGACATATCAATCAATATTTCAAATTAAAAAAAAAAACTAAATATGCAGAAGTTTTGGAAAAAGGTACTCCTCCGTTCCTGAATATTTGCCCACTTTTTACTTTATTCGGTCAAAATTAGTAAACGTTGACTTCAAATCAAATAAAAATGATATTAGATAATAATGTTATTAGATTTATTATATCAAGTATTTTCAAAATACTATTTTATCTAATTAATATACAATATATATTTTATTAAATTATAGGTCAAAGGTTGAAAGCGGTTGATAGAAAAAAATCAAAACTGGATAAATACTCAGAGACGGAGTTAGTATAGTAATTATGCGAAAATGGAGAGAGAGGCAATCAAAAGAGAAAAGAAGGAAGAACGCCGATTGAGCTAGGGTTATTCTTTTAGGGTCTGTTTGGGAATAGCGTTAGCGATTAGCGCTAGCGTTTTGAAAAGGCTATCTACGGGCAGCGTTTAGCGTTAGCGTTTTTAAAGTAATCTGCACCGTTAAAATTTTATCCAAAACACTAACGTTAATATCTAACGCTATTCCCAAACAGATCCTTAGAAACCATATATCGCTAAAATACCATATTGGAATAAAGGAATTGTTCTATTAAAGAGAGAATGTTTATGGAGTATTTATTGAGATAGATTGGGCTAATAACAATTTATAGAGACCCATAACTATTTATAGTTAACTAATATTTTTGCAAACAGAAATTGAGGTGAGATTATTTCTTAAAATATTAAGACCCTGTTCTTTTAGGTTGGAATATAAGAGTTGAATGTTTGAAGAAACTGTCAGGAGTTAGAAAAAACAGGAAGGAATTAGAAAACGTTAGAAAAACTAAAGTGTTATAAAGTCACTCAATTAAATGATCATCCACATAAATATATAAGAAAACTCTAATTTTATATTAAAAAAAGAATTCATCATTATATTTGTTTGAGGTAATATGTTATAAATTTGGATATACAATATTATTGTATATTAATAGTATACAAATACATTTTTAAGTCGTTGGAGGAAACTCGAAGGAGTTGAAGGAACTTGAAGAAGTTAGAAAAAACTAGAAGGAGTTGGAAGAAACTATAAGTAGTTGACAAAAAGCTCGAAATTAATCTTTCCAACCTAAAAGAGTAGGGCTTAAATGTCCGATTATTATTAGCACGCTAAAAGGTCAGATTACTTAGAACAATATTTTCTTTTAAAAATGATAAAAAGAATTTCAATTCAACCTTACAAATTAAGGAGAAACTTAACACAAAGAAAGTTTAAGACATTCAAAAAATGAAATGGAAAAAAATACAAATTAACTAATTTTTGACTGAAAAGTTTTATCATGGTCCCAGGGTTTACAAAATCTAAAATACCTTTCATAAACTTTTTTCTATTAAGAAAAAGCTTATTTCAGTAGTAATCAAATAATTGTTATGTAGTTTATATACGGATCAATCATCGATCTTAGGTCCATGCATGTATTTTCTTAATTTATTATGTTTAGAAATAATAAGTACTCCCTCCGTCCCAAAAAGAATGAGACGGTTTGACTTTTTGGAAAATTAAGGGAGGGATATTTCGGTATTGACTTTCCAAAAATACCCTTGATGTGATGGGTAAAAGTAGGATGTGATAGGTAGATTATTAGAAAAAAGGTATGATGTGATAGATATGGTATGAAAAAGTAGAGGGTAAAAGTGGTTTTTTAATAGAAATGTAACGGACTTTACGGGACGCAGTTTTTTCTAAACGTAACAAACTTTTTGGAACGGAGGGAGTATATTTTAAGAGATATTGTTATTTGAAATGAAAAATAAAACATGGATTATATATTCGTGGATAAATTCATCCAATGATTTAAGGTTCACGATAAACTTTAATATAGGCAAATAGTTTCATGGTCCTCAAGTCCATTCCAATTATATGGACCTTGTTGATGTAGTAGACTCTTTAGTACTAAAATTAATATTAGGATTAGGATTAAAATTATGATTAGGATTATGATTAAGATTAGGATTCAGATTAAGATTAGGGGATTAGGATTATGATTAAAATTAATGGATTAGAATTAAGAGATTAGGATTAAAATTAGGATTAGAGTTAGGAAATTAGGATTAAGATTAGCATTAGCATTAGGCATATTAACTTGGGTGAAACATGATTTTTTTCACATTAGGTTCTAAGTCCAACAACTTTTGGGAGAAGGTTCAAAAATTTGGCGTGGACCTTGGGTGCACAGAATCATCACTCTTTAATATGAGCTAGATGAGCATTGCTTAACAAGTTGTTCTTAGATGGTTCTAAGGTCCATATGTCAAATATGTACATTTTTATACTTTTCATGGGCTCGTAAATGAATCTTTTTTTTTAAGATCCAGTTGTTTTGTGATATTAATGCACTAGGATATATAAAATGAACATGAACGTTAGTATCACCTAATAAGCTTTTGTAAGATCTAGTATTTATACTACTCCACATTTTAGAAATAATCATCCTTAGTTATTCGTGCAAGCAGGGTAATTATAGCAATTGGCTTTTTCTATTATGGGCTTCGAGATACAACGGCAACATATGCTACAAACTTCATCAATTTGATTCCAATAGTCACATTTGTCTTCTCAATAACAATACGGTACGTATCAAAAAAACATAAGTAATTTCGGCCCGGTTCCATGGCCACTGGAATCCAGTGGCCACAGAAGTCACTGCCCCCCTACGAAATTTCGTTCATAAAATTGATGATTCCTAACCCCTAACCCCCCGGTAAACCCCCCGCTATGTCCCGACCCAAACTCATCACCACACCTACGTCAATTGCACCTCATAAGCATAAAGTCAAAACTTTTCACTTTAAAGTCAATTATGCTTACGAGGTGCAATTGACGTAGGTGGGGTGATGAGTTTGGGTTGGGACTTGGCGCGGGGGGGGGG